GTACTAGTAGTAGTACTAGTAGTAGTACTAGTAGTAGTAGTAGTAGTAGTAGTAGTAGTAATAGGGTGGTAGCCGTATAACCAATCGCCAACCAATCGCTCAGCCTATCGCGATGCAGGTTTTAGCAATCGCGCAAAACAAAGTAAACGCATCAATTCATAAATTTGTGACCTGCTTTTACGGACGGCTCCCATATACATATATATTGTTTATATTCATTCGAATCTGTAAGGTATATCATTGTTTCAGAATGACATTAGCAAACAATCAGCATTCATTGTCTTAGGAGATCGTGGGCGCTTTTGATAGTGTCTTGGGCAAGTTGCGTGAGAAGGTCGGCTCGCAGCCAGCATCTATGAAAAGGCCAGCCGCAGGGATGAAGAGACCTGCGGCTGCCACAAGTGAGGCCCACATCAATGCTGCAAAACCGCAAGCTTCTAAGGCAACCCCCAAGAAAAAACCTGCTGGTCCTCAGAAAATTGTGAAAAAGGGAAATGTGAAGAAGGGAAATAAGAAGAATCAGAAACCGTCCAAGCCACCGAATGCTTTGGCATTGTATCCGGGTGGCTGCGCAAAGTGTAGATACAAGCCAGGCTGTACTCCATCCTGCTTTAAGCAGCGCAAGGAGTGGCCCTAGCTGATGTGAGTTGACTTTAGAGATGCATTTTGCATTTCACGCGTGTATCCTCTGGGGAGCGGAGAGAAAAAAAAGCGGCCTTCGGGACGCTCTGTTTTTCAGGTTTGCTTCTTGTACGCTTTGCTTGTGTCACAGTGTGTTTTTTTCAACAGTTGGGGGACCACCAAGACGTGGATGTGGTTGTAGTCTGCTGTAAGCCTAGAATTGTCGAATCATTTCCATATCCAAGTTATGGCCATTTGTGCGTCTAAGTATGTAGGATTGTAATGGTGAAAAAATCCTGCTGCCATGATGATCCCTTGCCATCAACCCTCGATCATGCAAAAACAATAGCGGCTAGCGATGCTTCATGTCGAAGCGAAAACTTCCTGAGGAAGGTAGGCTGACAGAGTCTCAAGCATTGCGACTAGCTGCTCTGCCCAATTGCTCCGTGGCCCAGGCTGCTGAGGTTGCGCACACGTTGAATGTGTTTGGAAATGACACCCGTGCTAAAAAACAACAGCTGAAATATGTCCAGAATGCTGCTGCAAGGGTTGCCCAGAAATACCGGGAAGACTGCATTGAAATGATTCTTTGCGATGGTCAAGAGCTCTGGTTAAGCAGGCTACCACAAGTCTGCCAACGATATTGTGATCGCTCACGCGTGTTCGCTGAGACAGTGAAGACAGCTCTTCGAAGCACTAATGATCCGTTGCGTCTAGTGGTTTATTGCGATGAAACTGTGAGCGGCAATCCATTGAACCCCGTGGCTTCAAAGATACTCTGGCTTGTTTATGCATATTTTTCTCCTTTGAAGTAGAACTATAGTTGCAATGCACATTGTTCGTATTTTTTTGATCTTCACAACATCTGGGTTTTAAGGAAAAGCCACATGATATATGTCACCGCTTTGGAGTTCAACGCCAGAGTTTCATTGGAGAACTTCTGGCTTGTTGGTGGCGTCGTGACCCACGGGAAAGCCAAATCAGTACATGGTGGCTTGAGTGAGGTCATGAAAGAAGTGCTTACCCACTGGGTCAAGTCCACCCACGGTATTCTCAACCGAGCAGGCTTCAGTTTAACAATAGATGAAGAGCATTTGCTTGCGCGATTTTCTTTGCATGCCTTTGTGGCTGATGAGTCAGCATTGAGCAGTGTGCTTTCTTCCAAGTCAGCATCAGGAATGAAACCGTGTGCTAAGTGTTTCAACATCATTTCCAAGTATCATGGTGCGACGTGGGAAATCGATGACAGTGAGGAACTTCGTGATATTACAAGTACAAACTACTCGTCATTTTTGCAATTCACTGACGAACAAGTTTTTGATATTCAAGGTCGCTTGAAGGTTGTGCATGATTCGCAGAGTGCTGCCAAGTTGGCCACAGAAGAGAAACTATTGGGTTTTAATTTCTGTAGCACTGGACTTCTTGCAGATCCTTTGATGCGGATTGTCCTGCCACCTAGCAAATGCTATTACGACTTCCTGCACTGCTTGTTCAGCAATGGGATCGTGGGGGAAGAGGTGTCTGCCTTTTGGTCCAGCGTACGTGAATGTACAACACTGCGCATCGAGGATTTGCAGATGTTTTGCCAGCAAAGCGATTTCAAATTGAAGCATAGCATTGGTGATTACAAACTGAAACATGTATTCGATCCCAAATACTTGGAAAAAGACACCTATGGTGGCGATGCTGGATACACGGTCTTGGCGTTGTTTTTGCTTGAGATTTTTGCTCTCAATGTGCTGGCTGGCCTCGAACCCTTGCAAGGACATGTGCTATCTCTCACCTACTTGTGCTGGATTTGTCGCTGGTATTTTCGATTGAGGGCTGGGAAATGCAAAGGACATATTTCTCCAAGTGAACGCATGATGCCGTTGATATCCCGACATTTGCGCCAGTTTATCCTTGTATACGGGCGGTCCAAGACAAAACCGAAACACCATTTCAACTTCCATTGCGCGCAATCCACGAACATACAGGAAACAGTTCTTGACTGTTGGACCATGGAACGAAAACATCGAACGTACAAAAATGTTGGAAGACATTTCGCCAACCATGAACATTTTGAAAGATCTATCTTGGGCAAACTTCTGATGGTCCAAGAGGAACAGTTGACAGAAGCCCCTGGCGATTTTGATTTTACAGGTACCACTCGAGATCATGCTTTAGAAGCTCAACTTGGTTGTCAGCAAGCTTACGTGAGCAAAACATGTTTTTTCAATGGTCAGAGTTTCATGGCTGGCGATGTGTGCTTGTTGGAAAATGATCATTCCAAAGCTGGAACGGTGTTGATGTGCGTGGCCATTGACTGGTCATATGCGAGCAAGAAATATTATTTATTGATACATGATATGTCTCGGATCGATACTGTTTCATCCACGCGTGACCCTTGGCATTTGAGCGAATGGAAAATGAATGGTTCTAAAAGCTTGGTTTGCATAGCTACAAACGCGTGCAAGCTGCTTTGGCCCTTGTGCTGGTGGAAGCAATCGGAGCGCATCATTGTAAGCTGCTGAACGTCCAAAAAGGAAAGCCATCAGAATTCTTTTGCTGGTATCGGTGGTATAGGTTGGAATTGCTAGAGGTCACTCTTGAACTTTGAATGATATGGCACTGTGACATTTACTTTTATTCAGCTCTTGCAAACCGTGCAGTGTATATGTGTTTGGCTGAGTTAATCCAGGATAGCCAATGCCAAGGTTATAGCATTTTGTTGCCATGGAGTTGCTGTCGCAGCAGTTCTGTGCCGATCAGCGAGTGGATGCTGACGCCTGTGAGTTTATGCGGGAAGCTACTCGTGGCATGCTAGAAGTCATATGTCCTGAAGACATCAGCATTGGAACGTGGAAACCGTTCGCTATTCAGTGCGCCATGGCATCTGTGGCTATGGCATGTGATGTCCCCCTGGCCAAGTTGACGGACATCACTTTCGAAAGCATCGTGCCGGTCTCTGGCGCCATCCCTTTGGAGCGCTTGGTTGATCTCGAGCGCCAGAGACAGGAGCGCCTTCATGATGAACTACGTGCTATGGCTACGAAGTTGGAAGGCTTACTTCAATGTGAAGAATATGCAGATTGGCATCCTGAATTTCACATTTTGATAGTTGATTTAGCTCGAGTGATGGCAGCCTTCTGGTGATGCAACAGTCATCAACTGCAGCCGTTCAGGTTTCGATTTCAACACTGATGTAATTAACGTGTATGCAAGTCCGATCCAGACTACAATTCACGGATGCAAAAAGTACAGCGGCCTAAGGGACGCTCTGAGCTTTCCAGGTTTCCTTGTCAGTGTTGAAGATGTTTCAAGCATAGCTCAAGACATTTTGTAAGACTGACTAGTTCAGATGTGGATTGCACTCCAACTGAAGGGATATTGATTTGGAATTGATTTTTGCAGATGTCATTGTTCATGAATGATCCCACCTATATTTCTTCAGACGACGATATTGTTCTTTCCATGATTTATCAATGGTTGATGGCAACTCGGACTATATGCATTGAAAATTTCAACGAAAATTATCTACCAAACCGGCCACAGAAAACCACCTCTTTTCAGCTCAAATCTGAACGTATCGGGACGTATCGGGACGTATCGGAACGTATCGGGACGTATCGGCCTTGATTTTTGGCTAAAAAACCTTCAAAAATGAACGTATCGGGACGTATCGGGACGTATCGGAACGTATCGGGACGTATCGGGCTTGATTTTTGGCTAAAAAACCTACCCCCGATACATCCCGATACATTCCGATACGTTCCGATACGTCCCGATACGTCCCCATACATGATAATCAAACCCCGTGTCCCCCCCCAAAAAAAACAACATTTTGGTTTAATTTTTCATCATAATTGTCAACCACCAATTGTCTTGACTTTCAATCGCCATTTGTCAACTGCTGAAGTCATCACTGCAACAATGTCGTAGCTTTTTTGGTTGTTCAACCTCTTAGCTGGCATCGAGGAAACATGGCCGATGCTGCACCTGAAGCGCTTGCCATGCCCACTGAGAACGTGGCAGATCCGGCGACTGAGAACCGAGAATCAGATCTCCAGGACAATGAACCACAGCCAGTGCCAGAGGCAAAGCCTGCTTTGGACCTGCCGGGGACTTAGGGACTTATAAGTTATAAAGTAAGTGTAGTTATAAGTGGATAAGTATATGTTTAAGTTGCTTTATAAGTGGTTAAGCGACTGCTAAGTGATTAGAGGTTAGGTGGAACTTACCAGGAATTTATAATACTTATAAGTGAGCTAAGTGATTTTAAGTTAAGTGAGTTGGACTTAGCTGGCACTTAGCTTCGAATTTTGAACCTATGGTTTTTAATGTGTTTTGGGTGGTAGGAGGGAAAGTGGGACGTTTTGCAGCCATTTTGGATTGCAGGTATGTCCGTAGAAAAGCAGCTAGATGCAGCGCAGAAATTCCTACGAGGAATTCGGTCTCTGAGCTCCTACGAGGAGATCAGAGAAAAGCAGGCATTGGGAGTGCAAAAGGCTTTGGAGAAAGTGCCGGCGTACACCGCTGCCCAAGCGGCTGCGGTGTTGGGCCTCTTGCAGCCTGATCTTTGGTCCACATCCCACGTGGATGCGTTCCAGGAGAAGGTTGCCTTGAAGACGAAGCCGGTGGAGACGGATCAGCAGCGCGGGTTGGCGCAGGACTTTTCGCTGTTGCCACATTATCTAAGTGATGATTTGGCGGCTGCGATTGGTGATCCAAATGCAGACGCTGAGCGGCTGCTTTTTCGTCTCTGCCATCACGCTGCGCAGTTGACGTTGCGCAATGCTTCTGAGGCGACCAAGGCCACCTTGATTGTCATGGCGCATTGGTCACCATGTAAGCGTGGTGACTTAGCTCCGAAGCAGCAGTTCAACTTGTTTTGTCGCCACAAGCCGAAGGTGACAAAGTATTTGATAGCTCAAGCAGATGGCAAGTGTCTGGTGGAGCTGCCACCATCGTGGAAAGATATGGAAGCCGAGATGCTGAAGCGAGTGTTTCCTACGGGGAGACCAGCAGACATGGGGGAGGTGGCTAAGGAGATTTGCGATTTTGTGCGAAGGATGCCATTACGAAAAGATAATCGGTTGCTGCAGGAGGCTGGTGTCGGTACGACCGTCATGCCTGCGGCAGGGTTCCCAAGTGGAACTCTAGCTGTGGATGATGTGTGTAAGGTGGTTGCAGCCTGCAGCCAATCTTTGCAAGTGCAGCTGTCGCGAGGCCAGTCAAACCAATCGAGTGGTTCCGGAGACCGTGTGGCAGCGTCATCGAGTTTGCTGGCAATTTGCGATGGCGCAGCAGAGGAGCCTTCGAAGGCTGTTGCTCCGGAACCGGACCTACGTGGTCCGGAGACTATGAGCATTGCAGAACAATTGGCTGCGCTGCGAGGTGATATGGAGAGAAAGGATGGGAAAGATTTGGAACGAGACGTAGAAAAGCAGAAGCATCTCAAAAGACCCGCTTCTGCCAAGAAGCTTGCAGCGGCGCCAAAGCCGAAAGGTAGGCCACGTGCCAAGCCCAAGGCAAAAAGCGCTGCTCGGAAGCCGCGCCAGGATGTCATGAAGCGACCTGCGGCTGCGACTACGCGTCGCAGCACAATGTCTAAGGGATGTGCGCAGGACGCTCAGATTGCACGCGGGACTTCCACGGGAAGTCCGAGTACTGGCGCTGTGTCACGCGCAGAGCGTCGGAAGAATGTCTTGGCGCTGGTTCCGAAGAAGCTGCGTGCGCAATTCTCTGGTGGCTGTGCGAAGTGCCGGTTTACCAGTGGTTGCACGCCGTCCTGCTGGTTTCAGCGGGGCTTTGCCGTATGATGTCATTCTTGTGACAGGTAGGTGCTTCCACTTCTATAGAGATTGGGTACAGGCTTTTCTTTGCCTTATCGTAGCAATATCCGACATTCTGGCATGTGATATTAAGAATGGTAAAACACATAGCTGCACCGCTGTCCTGCCTTTTGGTTTATATGTTGGTCCCCCACAACTTCTGAAATAGAATGTTTTTGAAACAAGTACTGGTACGGGGAGTATTCGTGGGTTTCGTTTGTTTGTCTGGAAGGATTTGCAATTCTCTGTCTTACTTCCAAAGGGTTTTTGGCTCAATATAGAACGCGGACGAGATCGCGAAGGAGAACGCAAGGACCGTGACCGGGATACTTCCAAAATACACATTGTTACTATGAAATGGAATATATATACATATATATATATATATATCGGCAATGAAATGACACTATACTGATCGAGGTTATAGGAAATCTCTGTCTGTTATTTGCTGTTAACGCAGGACAACATGCCGCCGAAGGAGACGGAGAAGGAGGAGTCAGAGTACACCTACTGCACGGAAGAAGAACATGAAGACGATGATCCGGTCGAGCCGGAGCCAACGCCGCCTCCGAAGAAATCTGTGGCTTCGCGAGCACCGGCCCGTAGGTCGTCCAAGGCGGCGTCGCTACCGCCGGCCGCAGAAGCTGCGGCGCCGACGGAGGTACCCGCCGTGCGACCAAGCCCGGCAAAGGAGGCTGCGCCGCCTGGGGGAAGTCCGGAGAAGGACTCGAGTAGTGACCGTGGGCCATGCGCCCGGTCGCTGCGATCTCCCGGGAGCCCACGTGGCCGGGAGCGAGACAGGCGACGCAGATCCAGATCACGTCGCCGCCGGCGTCGTGGGGGAGAGGACCGAGGTGGCGATGGCAGGGGTTCCACTTGAGATCCTGGTTTTTTGTAAGGAGTTAACATAGTTAGAATCAGTTATGCTCATTTATCAACTAGTTACAACTATGTGTTAACAATTTACAACTAGGTCCTAACTATGTACAACTAGTGGTAATTTTTAACATAAGTTAAGTTAAATTATTAACTTTTTGATGAAATTATGTAACTAACTTAACTCAAGTTAACTCTGTATAATTTTCCAGATCTGTTTAGAGCTTGATTTGAACCATTCTCAATTACCAAGAATGTTTATTTGCTTCCATAATATTTACATTCACCATATATTTGCATACCAAAAGAAAAAAGCACCATTAAAAAAACTTGTTTTTCCCTCATGAATTGAGAATTTGTTTCCCCAGAAATATCTTTGTTTTGCAAATTGTCAAAAATGATTTCTCCTTTTGGATGAACATGCAAAAGCTTGTCAAAGCAAAAATGCTTGTTTTGGGCACAATCTCCATGACATGTGACAACCCACAAAAGCCATGTTTTGGCCACATCTTTTGCCACATGTTTCTGTGGGCATGCATTGGCCCAATATTTTTTTGAATGAGGATTTGCCAACCCAAGGGAACCAGCAAGTTGCAGCCAGCCATGGTGGACATCACCTTCCGCTGCCAAATCAAGTACCAAGAGGACAAACCAGTGACCATTGCTGCAGACCTGGTTGAAGAGCACCAAGGCCAAAATTTTTTGAAGTTCAGAGCCACTAACTACTCCATTTGCCAATTGGTATGTGGTGGCAAGCTGCCCAAGAACCCCAGTTTGTCCAAGAGCAAGGAATTGCAAGCTTTGATCCAAGCCAGGAATGAGAAGATCCAAGAATATTTAGCAGCACCACAAGATCCCCAAGAAGGCCAAGAATTGTTTGGTGAACAGAAGCCAAGCACCAAGAAAAGAAAAGCCCATACCATGGAAGAACTTGGCAACTTTGTGGTAACCATCCAGTTGGGTTCCACTGAGATTCCATGCTTGGCTGGTGGCCAAAGGCCTTCCAAGTGGGATTTGTATGTTGCCATGGAGCCAGAGCCATTGAGGCAAGTCATTGGCCATTTGAGAGCTGGCTGCCAAGCTGCATTGCAGGAACCCACCAGGGGTTACAAAGGCACAAAGAAAGACTGAAGCCACAGGTGACCATAGCAGGGATGACCAAAAAAATGCAAGTTGCAGCAAACAATTGCAAAAGCCACTGTTTGGCCTATATAGTCACAATGCCTATCATTACAAAAAGCCTTCTATGGCCATGATCATTAGCAGTAATGGTCACCAAAACCCATGATGAAAAACCACTTTCAATCCACAGTTTCTATGTCTATCACATGATGCTTTTGAAGCTTTTGAAGGCTGCTGCTGCTCTGGCCTAAAAGACCAGCATTCAGCCGAGTTGCACCATTAGCACATGCCTTTTTAGAGACAATTTTTACAGGGGTTGCCAAGCCTTTCCTGCAACCAGCCATGGTGGACAAAGTGGCTGCCCAAGTGAAAGCCATGATGGATGGCCCCTTGACCATCAACCAGAAAGTCAACCAGGTCATTGACCTGTTGGAAGCCCATGGGTTGGCCCACAAAGTGGCCCTCAGACCATCACAGATTCTATGCCACCCTGACAACAGGGGTGGGACCATGGTGTCCTACCATGATGCTTGGAGCAAGGGCATGGCCATGCTGGCTGTTGGAATCCAGACCAACCTTTTGCAGGGTTCCATGGCCATAGAGATGTCCAAAGATGAAGCCAAAAGAAAGGTCCAGATATCCAAGAATGAGCAATTGTTCCAGGAAGGCATTGGGCACCTTGCACCTCTCACTGGCCAGGAACGTTCCTTGGTTGTTGCAAATGACCCATATGAAGCCACCATGCTGAAGCTTTCACAAAGACAGCCCCACTGCATATACTGATTCCCAATGTTTTGGTAATACAGTTGTTGATTCAGTGACCATTGCACTTCCTAGGTTATTTGTCTTTGAGTGCCAGCCACACTGTGACCTTCTTGAGAGCTCTGGAACACCATTGTGTTGGACCAGCTGGAACCCAACCTGATGTTCCCAAGAATGACCCATGTTGGAAGTGCATTACAGAGGGATGGAGCTGGGTGGTGCTGCCCAGTGAGATTGAAGACCAGTGAGAAGACCCACCACCAGCCAAGAAGAGAAAGAAGAACAACACCGCCTGAATGCATCAGCCAAGAGCAGCAGAAAGCTCCACAAGTTTCACTTGTCTGCCAGTCACACCCATTTCAGGCACGTGAAAGCAGAGGCAACAAAGGCATGCCTGCTGGATGATATTGTTTCTTTTCTCACACCCAGAATTTCATTCAGAGTTTTGTCATTGCAAGACTCAGGCAAAGAAACTGTTTATGTAAGGACCACATGTGGTTAACCAACAAAAGCCACATTGGCTTGTAGGATGCAACAAAGGCAACAATGGCTTACAGAATGAAACAAAGGCCAACCATGGCAGTTCACAGCCACCATATGTCCACACACTGGAGCTGAGCACATGTGGGCCAAGCAAGCTACAATCCATGAATTTGTTTTGGTTCCACCTCAGCCACCAGCCCAACACTGCAGTTACTGCCAAAGTTGACCAAGTGTGGTTGCCATGGGCCAGCATGGGTATGATGCCAGAAGGCCAGAAGGCCAGGCATTGTATCAATTTCATACCAAGGTGTGTTGCAGCCATATACTCAGGTGTCCAAGCGTGTGCCACCCCACTGCAGTCCACTGTGCCCAACATGAATAAGCCATATATGGCCAACCTACTCAAAAGCCATGATGACCAACATGAATAAATCATAGTAAAAAAAAACTTGAATTTGAGAAAAAAAATATGGATTTTTTTGTCAGTAAAAATCCTTTAAAGTTTAACCTGAAATCTTTCAGTTGGATTTATATAATACTCACAGTACAACCTGCATCCAGCTAAGTTGAAATACACTGAGATGGCACCTTTAGTTCTTGTGAATCTTTGTTTCTAATTTTTTGTTGCATCAAATACACTTCTTTCAAGGATTCTTACTTTCAAAAAAAACTAAATTCTTTTCTCAAATTCAAGTTTTTTTCACTATGATTTATTCATGTTGGTCATCATGGCTTTTGAGTAGGTTGGCCATGTATGGCATTCAGATTCTGAATCTAACTTTTTTGAACCTCATTTTTAGATTCAGATTTTGATTTACTTTTTTGAAAACAAAATCAAAAAAACCGAACAGAAACACTTTGTTGAGAAATAAAATCATAAATAAATTTCATAATTTATATAAAAATATGTTATTGATTCAATATAGTTTTCTTGTTTTATTTCAAAAACACACAAACCAAATTGAAGTCAAGAATGATGAATCTGGAACTGAAAGATTTCAGTTTGTATGATTTTTTGAACTTAAGTTTAATTAAAATATATGAGCCGTTTTTACTTTCAATTTTAAAAAATATGAATTAGTATATGTCTCAAAAGTTCCTGGAGTCTGGAGGGTTTCCAGTTTGGAATTTTTATCTGAACAAGTTTAACCTGAAATCTTTCAGTTGGATTTAATACTCACAGTACAACCTGCATCCAGCTAAGTTGAAATACACTGAGATGGCACCTTTAGTTCTTGTGAATCTTTGTTTCTATTTTTTGTTGCATCAGATACACTTCTCAGATTAAAATTCCAAACTGGAAACCCTCCAGACTCCAGGAACTTTGAGACATATACTAAGTCATATTTTTTTTTGAAATTGATAGTAAAAACGGCTCATATATCTTAATTAAATTTAAGTTCAAAAAAATCATACAAACTGAATTTTTTCAGTTCCAGATTCATCATTCTTGACTTCAATTTGGTTTGTGTTTTTTTTAAAATATGAAGGAAAACTATATTGAATCAATAGTATATGTTTATATAAAGTATTAAAAACATATTTATGATTTATTTCTCAAAAACATGTTTCTGTTCTAAAATTTTTGCCTTCCAGAGTTAGATTCAGAATCTGAATCTAAAAATCAACTTTTAGACAGTTAGATTCAGAATCTGAATCTAAAAGTTGGTTTTTGCAATTTTAGATTCAGAATCTGAATCTAACTCTGTTAAATAAAGATGTTAGATTCAGAATTTGAATCTAACTTTTTTGAACCACATTTGTAGATTCAGATTTTGATTTTGGCAAAATCAAAAAACAAACAGAAATATTTTTTGAGAAATAAAATCATAAATATTTTTTTATAATTTATATAAAAATATACTATTGACTCAATATAGTATTTGTTTTTACTTTAAAAAACACAAGCCAAATTGAAGTCAAGAATGGTGAATCTGGAACTGAAAGATTTCAGCTTGTATAATTTTTAAAAAACAAATGAAAATAATTCATGAAAAATGTAATAAATAATGTTTTGTTTTAAAAAAACATGTTCAATGATAATATGTGTTTTCTAATTGTCTTTGGAATTTACTTTTTTTTCTCAAAAAACATATTGGCATTCAATATATTAAGCCCAAATACAAAATAGCCTTTATGGCATTGTATCAAAAACCTAAATGGCCTTCATGATGTTAAATCAAAAAGCCTTGGTGGCCTTTATGGTATGTGTATAGTAATTTGCCATGTCATTTAAATATATAATTATATTTATATATACTATAGTAGCCATCGATGAATCAAACACCATGGCACAACCTGTGCAATGTTATCATTACATGGAAGATAGTCTCAAAACCAATATAGTATACCATGCAATATCTCCATATTTATATTCAATTAGCTGCTTTCATATATACATATTCATATGTACACCAACTGAAGCCCAAAGAGGCAACAGAAACCAGCAGCCATGGCAGAGACAGTGGACCCAGAGGCAACCACCAGTGATTCCAGCGAGTCCAACAAGGCCAGTTTGCCAGAGGGCCCAGCTATGCCCAAAGCCAAGGAATCCATCAAGTTGGAGCCAGATTCCTCAAAGGAGATTCCAGTGAGGTCTCCAGCTTCGTCCCCAGAGTATGATCCATGGGCGACTCCAAAGCCCCATGCTGACAACCTGATAGACATACCCAAAAACATCAGCCAAGCCCATGGGTATGATGCCAGAAGGCCAGATGGGTTTGATAAGCCAGCGACAAAAAGAGCAGCAGCTTTGTTTTTTTGTTGTCCAAAGGCCTGCTTGGCTTCCATTTGAAGCGTGCATTGGTGACAGACATTTGTACCAAAAGCCATATATGGCAGACAAAGATAAACTTCAAAAGCCAAATATGGCCACTTCTAGCAAAAGCAATCTTTTGGCCACATCTTACTTTTCTTACCATTCCCATGTCTATGCAACTCCTGGTAAAGTCATTCCTTCTTTCCATATTATATCCTTGCAAGTAGCTCTATAATGGTATATCACGAAGTCCTCCTTCACCTTGTACAAACAAGCTGTCACCTCTTCCTTTTGGCTCATGATAAAGTAGCTTTGGAAGTCAAACATCTTTGATTGAGCAGCTTTGGAAGTCAAACAGAACAGTTTGAATGACATATTTTCTTCTGGTGACCATGCCCGAAGCCAAACATGAGAGACAATTGCAATGAAGATTTTTTCCCATAGAATATATCCAACATGCATTCTTGGCTTGAAGAGCTCTCACACCATTGCCACTTCCAAATACATATCATATCCTGTTTTTTTGTGTCATGTGACAGTAGCATGGACAGGATCCAGAGAGAATGGTTTGCCAGACCAGAAGCCCAAGACCAAGAACGCCAAGCTGGCAGAGTTTTTACAAATCTCTTCCAATTTACCCAAGCATTCACAAAATGCTTTGGCAGCTATTCTCGAAAAGGCCAAGAAGTCTGGAATACCAGATCTACACAGTAGCAACCAACAAAGGGAAGCCAGGCTCCAACTTCTTGATAGTTGCCATGGAGGAGCTTTGGTTCCATTGATCCAGGGCCACCACCACCACCATGTTTTTTGCCAACCTATTGGTTTACATGATGGCCATCTATCACCAAGATGGGTCATGGACCAAGCTTGTCCAGCAACACCATGCAGAATGCCCAGGCACCATCAGTGACCCATGGGGGTTGATTTTATATTGTGATGAAATCATCCCAGGAAATGTCTTGGGAAGGGCAGAAAGAAAGGTGTGGACCATTTATGCCACCTTTCTCCAGTTTGGGGACCATTTGTCCCATGAAGATGCATGGCTAACCATCAGTGTAGAAAGATCTGCTTTTGTGGCCACACTGGGTGGTGGCATTGCCCAAATGATGGGCCATGTGCTGCAAAGCATCTTCTGTTGCCCCATCCAAGACCCCAGGCTTGGCTTCAGGCTGAAAGCCACCAGTGGAGACACCACCTTGTTTTTCAACTAATCCATGGTTTTGGCAGATGGTGCTGCCCAAAAGCAAGTTTGGTCCAGCAAAGGCGATTCAGGGACCAAGTTTTGCTTGTTGTGTGCCAATGTCCATGGCCAAGTTGCCAAGCATGCAGATGAGGAACCATATTGAATTTCATTGTGCTACCACTCAATACAGCCAGCTCAGGCTTGTCACTGACCAGGAGTTGCTGGACAGCTACCAAAGATTGCATACCAGGTCCAGCTCTTGCACCAAGAAGGCCTTTGCACAGTGGCAACAAGCCACTGGCTTGACATATTCGAGACATGCCCTAATGTTGAACCAGCCATTGCTGGAAAAGGTCATAATCAGACCAGCCACACAGTTCTGCCATGACTGGATGCATGGAGTGCTCCAGGGCACTGCCCCATGTGTTCTCTACCACCTCTTTACCAGCTTGGCCACAGAATGCTTTGATTGCTATGGCTTCTTTGAAAAGTATTTCCAGTGTTGGGAATACCCCAAAGGCTGGAAAGCAAGCCACTTTCACCAATTGTTTGAAAAGAAGAAAATGGAAAAATCCAAGAATGCCAGAAAATTCAGCTGCACAGCAGCAGAGTGTTTGGCCATATACCACATAGTGAGGCATTGCATGTGCACCATCATTCAACCTCAAGGTTTGGCTGTGGAAGCAGTAGATGCTTTTTTGGCCATGTCAGAAGTCATAGACCAATGCCATGGTGGTGTGCAATGGAAAGCCACCACATGGCATTCCTTGTTGAGTGCTGTGGAAAGAGCAAATGCAGCATTTGAGGTTGCTTGGCCAGAAGAAACCATGATCAAGAAATGGCATTGGCATTTGCATCTACCAGATGCATTGTCCAGATTTTCCAATCTCCCAAGCTGTTTCACAGCAGAACGGAAACACAAAAGCATTTCAGCTTTGGCAACCAAATTGCAGAAAACCACCAGTTATGAAAAGCACCTCCTGCAGCAAGTGCTTTCCAATGAAATTTGCACTTTACAGCACCCAGAATTATTTCCCAAAGTTTGCCACATGTGGAAACCAAAGCCTGCCACCCAACAGGTCCAAGAGGCCATGGCACCTTTTCTGAACCAACCTTGCCTTCAAGCACATAGCTCCACTGTTGCCATATTGGCCAGGGGCGGGCAAGTTTCAGGTGGAGATGCCATCATTTTTGCAGAAGGCCATGACCCCAGCAAATGGAAAGTTGCACTTGCCATCAAGCATGTCCAAGTCTTTGGCTTGCAAACCACTTTGGCCCAACTGTGGCCCATACAGACAATGGACCAATACCATGCCAAATGCAAGGTGACAGCCTCCAATGGGCTCATTCCTTTGAGCAATATTTTGTTCCCAGTGCCATACAGCCAAAGCAAAGGCCAAGTCACTGTGCTGTTGCCTTACCAGTGCTACAGTCGAAGATAGCAGGAAAAGGTCTGTGTGTGCAGCTGTTGTTTCCAGCCAGACATTCAAAGGCCATGGTGGCTCATCAAAGGCCAAGATGGCTTCTTCCATCAAGAAATGTTTCCAAATGCCTTGTGATGGCAAAACAATGTTAGACACACAAAAATACACATTTGTTTTTTGTTTTTTTTTCCAATTTGGCTTTCTTTTTGTTGGAAAAACACTTTGCTTTAAAAAAAAATCTTCCTACCAAAATCACTTTGGTTCTTCCAAAAACATAAAACAAGGCTAGGTTTTGGAGAAGCAATTTTTAAAGTTATAACTAGTTACAAAGAGTTAGCAATTCAAGCTAATAATTATATAACTCATCTTAACTAACTTAACTTCTTATAACAAAACCAGGATCTCAAGCATGCCGGAGCCACCTGCGATGCCGCCGCCGCCTCCTCCGTCGCCTGGTAAAGGCAAGGGCAAAAGCCGAAGCCAGTATTGTCCACATTGTTGGAGCAAGGTGAAAACCGGAGGAGGCACAGCTGGCCTTAGCCAGCACATGTGGGCAAATGAGCGCTGTCTCGCTTGGCAGCAATATGGCGATGGCACCCGCTGCTCTTGGGAGGAAGCCGTGGACAGGGCACATGAGCTGAAGCAGCGACGGGAACGAGAAACAGTGGAGGAGTACGGTCCGGAGACTACGGTTCCGGCCCGTTCTCTGAAGCACCGGCAATCCATGGAGGCCGAGTCCCGTAGGCCACAGACTGAGGTTGCTGACGTTCCACGTGACCGTCAGGAGCCGGAAAAGCGGCGACGTCGTAAGCATGGATCACGGCGTCGTCGACCGAGTCCTTCTCCCGAGGCGCGCCCAGTGCGCAAGAGCCGAAAGCCACCTAGCAGCGATGATGAGTCCGATCGAGAGACTGGACCGGCTAAGCGCCGGTCTGCACGCGATTCTGTCTGGATTCAGGTGCCAATGTCTGCTCTAACGGGCCGTTAGAATCCGTGAGCTGAGAGGGCAGTGGACTGCACTGGCGGAACACATGGGAGCCAAGAAAAAAGGGAAGCGGACGGGTCGGCTATATGGTGCGTGTAATTATATAGAAATAAATCTCTCGGATGGGCCAAATCATGTTTTTTTTCGTGTGTCACCTACATGTACGTCCGTAGCCGTTTCGTGCCAAGTTCCATGCATGCATGTGCTCTCAGATATGTCTCACGACATGAGATTCTTCAACAACTCTGGTTTTACCACGTTTCATTCATGTGTGCAGACGCACATACGGCATACCTAGAGACACCGCATGCACTATCTTTTTAGTACCGTCAGTCGTTCCGTAGGCGCTGCCGCATGGGAACTCGGAGGCTACGGCTACGCGCCGCAGCTTCCGTGCCGAAGACATAGCTGTCGTCATGGCGGTAGATGCATCCTTTTCACTGTCTCCGCGAGGCCTGGAAGAAGTCTATGAGGTGATCTGCCACGTTACTCCTCTGGAGCCCTTTGATGAATTTACCTCTACGTGGGGAAAAATTTGTCACTCCTTATGGGCAACTGCGCACGGAAGGCCGTATGATAGCCGAATGCTTCGGCGGCTCAGCAGTTTGCTCAAGTATGGGCACTGGGGCGCAACTCCGTTAGATGTTGAGGCGCACCCGAAACTCTCTGGGTTTTGCTTGCTTCCGGCTTCCTACCAGGAAGCGACGAGCTCATGGTATGACCATGTGCAGTGGAAGCAAGAATATTTGCTGCCGGATTTATATCGCTGCAGCAAATGGTTAAATATCTTAGCTTGGCACTTCTCGCGCAAGCCTGATCGGGCCAGAGAATTTCAGTGGTGCCGGCGCGGTGCCTGGCTTCTATGGGAAGCCAGACGCAGTCTACGGATTGCGCAGAGAGGATAGTTTGACTGTTCAGCACGTCACGCAGCGGTGGATTGGTGCTGTCTGCGGATGTCTGCGGATGTCTGCGGATGTCGGCGGAGTTTTCAGCACTGTTCCGCGACATGTCTGCGGATGTCTGCGGACAAGGCCAAAGTGCCTGGAACTGACATGCCACGGTGTCTGCGGTGTCTGCGGACGAGGAAAAAGGCTGATCTGAAGGGGTCTGCATGTCTGCGGATGTCTGCGGACAGAGAGAGCACAGAAGTCTGAAGTTTGCCAGATGTCTGCGGCCTTTGTGACCAAAACCACTCCAAAGCACTTAGTCCGACTGTTCGGTGTCTACTTCCGGGGATTTGCAATTTGTTCTGTGATGTGACGCGTTGCAATCTCTCTAAAGTCTAGTAAGCGTTCAATGCATGATTTTCTATAGTTTCGATTCTATGGATGGATGGCTGATTTTGTTCCTGTGACTGTCCTTAAATACACAAAACGATAATTTGTTTTTTGTGTCTCGAATGGGACGACATTGGACTGATAGACGCATATGAAAAGAAAGA